GTAAAATCTTAAAATCGTAAAATTTTACAAGGGTTTAAAAATTTTGTTGTTGTCTTGCATAGATAAAGATATTAAAATAATACAACTCGCGCATGTTATGTGTTCAGTACGTTATAACTGATCAGCTGATTTCTGTTTACCTCATTGTGCTTGTGCTTCTTCTTCTGCGCTGCATACCAAAGGAAATTTTTGCAGTCGAAAAATAAAGAACTTTAATATTTAAACAAATGCAGAGCGTTAGTGAAATAAAGGTAAATTAATGCACATGCATATGTAAATACTGATGCTGAATTACTCTTACAAACTGATTTTTCAGGCAAAGACAAAGCGGGTGCGCTGCAATCCTACAAGGAAGTGGGCAGTGGCGGAAGAAAAGGCTTTGGTGGAATTTTTGTTGGCAAGTAGAGATCTTGAGGTTGGTTGTTTGAAAAATGAAATTCTAGACCTTTAAAACTTTCTAAATTTTGTTTTAGAGACCGACAGCTGAAATGTATTACACCAGGTTTGTTATGGAGTATAATGTTGCAGTGGAGTGGAAGGCAGTGCGCTCCAAAGTTCGCTATATGCGTTCTACCTATAACAAGACCAAAGGATGGGAGGGCTCAACAGGTGCAGGGAGTATGGATGGAGAAACCATTAAATGTAATTCTAGTGAATTACTTATATAAGTTCACCGAATAATACGTACTAGTGTTCGCCCAGCGGTTGAAATTCAACCGCTAAAATTAAGGATAGTTTATGTGAGTTGAGTTGAGCTGAAATAAAATTTGTTGGAATGGGTTAAGTGGAGGGGAGTTTAGCTTGGTACTTAGCATAACATAACATAGAATATCATTAGATTCAATAACATAACATATGTAGCATAACACATCACAATATAACATCGCACATTCTTCAGTTGTATTTCCTTTTTACCCCTATCACTTTCTTCCTCTCTATCTTTGTCTCTATCGCTTTTAATGTTTATGTTTATGTTTACGTTTATCTACACCTTCATGTTCATGTTCATGTTCATGTTCATGTTCATGTTCAAGTTCATGTTCATTTTCATGTTCATCTTCATCTTCATCTTCATCTTCATATTCACCTTCGTCTTCATATTTATCTTTTCCTTTATCCTGATCTATATCTTCATTCTTTTCTCCATTTACGTATTTACCCCCACCATTGTTATTAGGTTAGGTAGTTAAATTTTCCTTCCTCTTTTTCTTTACATTGTTTCTTTAGTGATATCATGTCATGTGTTGAAATTGGGTGTGGTGAGTTGAAGTGTGGTGGAATTGGGTGTGGGACTTACGGTGTTATGAATTCAGGTGTGGTGGTCTTAAGAGGTGTGGTGAATTTAGTTGTGGTGAGTTGAGGTGTGGTGAATTAAGGTGTGGTGAGTGAAGGTGTGGTGAGAAAGTTGAGGTGTGGTGAATTAAGGTGTGGTAGATTAAGGTGTGGTGAGTTAAGATGTGGTGAGAAAGTTGGGGTGTGGTGAGTTAAGGTGTGGTGAATTAAAGTATGGTGGATTTAGGTGTGGTGAATTTAGGTGTGGGGAGTGAAGTAGTGGTGGATTTAGGTGTGGGGAGTTAAGGTGTGGTGAATTAATGTGTAGCGAACTCAGGTGGAGTAAGTTTTTAAGCGGAGGTGAGATGAGTTGAGGTGAGTTAAGTTAAGTTAAGGGGTTAAGTTAAGATAAGTTATCTTTATCCTTATCTTCATATTCATCTTCCTCGTCTTGGTCTTCATCTTCTTCTTCATCTTTATCCTTTCCTTTATCCTGATCTAAATATATCCATTCTTTTCTTCATTTACATATTCACCCCCACCATTGTTATTAGGTTAGGTATTTAAATTTTCCTTCCTCTTTGTCTTTATATTTAGGTTTCTTTACTTTTATTTTAATTTCTGTATCTTCTCCATACTCAAAATTATCTTCATCCTTGTTTGAGGCTAATCTATTCATGTACATACACACATACATCTTATTCCTAAACTGCTGCTTACCACGTTTCTTTAATTCACTATCAATATTAAAGCATACATTTAGGAGGCATTTCCGCCCCAACCATGTACATGTATGGCATTGGTATTGGTGTGACTTTTGAATTGATTTTTTCGCTCTATTTTATACTAATTTGAAGTTTCAAAAATTGCCTGCACATCAGCAATAAAATACCTTTCTAATGATATATAATTGTTTATACCTTAGAAGTACAGTTTAGCCGTAAAAGGGGTGTAAAGGAAACATGATTGCCTATTTATATAATTGATTTACCTTTTTTTACCTTTTTTCTTTCAGCTGTCCGGCTTAAGAAGTGCACCTTCTTTTATGAATTAGAAGAAATTTTCGGCCACAGACTTGTTGAATCAGCAGTCATAGAAGAAAGTTTGGAGAGTCTACTAAACAGCGATAACGCATATTCACCGGAAGCAGGTTTAGATGAAACAGCGACATCTTTAATAACTGAAAATTTACCTGAAATGATTACTGAAAACGAACCAGTTGCTTCAACGAGCCGCAAGGGCATATATTCAAGAACCGTAGTTTCCGACATTTTACAATTTCAGTCAGAACTGGTACAGCTAAAAAAGCATAAAATAGACCAGGACATGATTTTGAGGGAGAAGGAGATACAGATTAGGGAATTAGTGCTAAAAGAAAGGGAAATAGAACTAAAAGAAAAGCAAGAATTGATACTCAAGGATAAGGAAATGGAAATGAAATTAACAGAACTCAATAGCCAAGAAAAAATCAAAATTATGGAATTAGAAATGAAGGAAAGATTGGCGATGGAGGAATTTAAGCGTAAATATAAATAAGACCGAACAAACTTTCTGAAAAAGTGCACAAGTATAAAGTTAAAAAAAAAGAAAAGTTAATGTTATAATAACCAGATAAATAGTGGGCGTGTAGATTTTTTTTGCGATAGAATAAGCAACAGTTCCTTTTTTAACTCTTTATTTTTTAATTAAAAAAAGAAAAAACATTTCTATGTTTTAATAGTTAAAAAAAACCTTAAAGTACAAATACACATATGTTTTTAAAACGAAGTATTAAATTGTTGCCTCATTTTGTATAAAGTGGAGTAGGTTATTTCTAGTATTGCTTCCTGGTGGTAAATTACATTGCGATGGGTCAACTTCATGATGACCTTCATTTTCAAATTTCAAATTTATCAGCATGTTATGGAGGATGCAGCACACCATGATCCAATCGTTGCAGTTTTTCTTGTTTTGTTTAGAATGCATTCGGAATTTTAATTCTTTCAAACTACCGAATTTCTCCTTTAAAATACCGAAACAATTTTCAATTCGCACACGGTATTTTGAAAAGTATTTGTTGAACATTTCTCTTTCTTCCGGAGTATGCTCCGTGCTATTTTGCCTGAACGGTGTTATTAAGATATGTCTGAGTGGATAGGCACTATCGCCAGCAATCCACTCAGAGCTTGACAGAAAACGTTCAGGATGCTTCGCAAGGAGACAATTTAAAAATATTTTTGCATCATGAACGCTCCCAGGATATCCTATAGTGACTTGTCTAATTCGTAATTTGTAGTCACATATAGCCTGCATTTTCACAGCATATTGGCGTTTACGTGAGAAAAAAAGTTCATGCTTCTTGATGGGGGCTTCAGCTAATCTTATTTCGGAACCATCGATGTATCCTACGCATCCTGGCATTTCTTGTTTTGTTGTGTAAATAAGTTTCAGCCTTTCTCTCTGATTTGGCCAATATATAAATTTCTTCTTTAACCTCAGTATAGCTTTGAATACACGCCTGGTAACATTTTGAATAGTGCCCCCATCGCCTATTCCAAACAGAGAGGCAACCTTGCGTATGGATACCCCATCTCCTTTAGATCCTAGTCTATATAGCACTATTTTTAGTTGCAAATCTATAGGAATCTGTGCTACGCTACGACTTGTATGAAAGACAGGATCGTCTTTTATACAATCCAAGATGTATTTGAATTCGTCTGGACGAACACGAACCATTTCGTTGAACCTATTTTCATCAAAATTTGCAAGTACGTTATGCTGCCAATCGGATGATTTTGGTATTCCAAAGTGTACACTTCTACGGCTGTTTAATAAGCATAGCATACTCGGCGAAAAAATTTCATTAAGATCATCTGCGTCTTCTTCGTCGCCTTTATAAAAGTTGTATATATGTAGTAAAAACAAACATTTTAAATAATAAACTCAACTTACTTGAGTCAAGGAATATCAGGTTTAATGCTTGATTTTTGCAAAGGGCGTCGATTATTTTATGTTTTTCACTCTGCTTTGGCATTTTGGCTGTGAAATATTTTTTATTTATTTAAAACAGCTGATTAGGAATTATTTATTACATTATAGTTATAAAGGGGTGTTCACAACTGTGATAATTTTCTAATATTTCCTTACGACTTATAACTTTAAGAGACTATTGTGAATTCCCTAATTGTATTCGCTTCACAGTTAAATTCATTGTAAACTCAGTTCTTTTTTATAAAAAAAAAAGTTTCCATCAACAAATACAAAAAATCTCGACGTCATTTTTTATTGCGAATTCGGAAAAACAGCAGACATTTAATTTTAGAGAAGTTATGTAAACATAGGTGCTATGTACTCCATCCCCTCATCAAACTCCTTTTTGAATTCAGCGGGATTTAAATCGCGTCACTCACATTGTACCGTTAGTTGCAGATGAAAATCCACAAATACAGCTACATAGATATTTTGTTATAGCTATTTGATTCTCTATGATGCAAAAATCTGTTAAGCTCCGATTGGGTTATTCAAATTTTCATGGAAAAATCAAGTGAAAAAAAAATTGCATTATCTCAGTAAGTTTTAAAAATTATTTTAATGTAGATTTCATTCCTTAAGATTGCTTTCGTATTTTTAAAGGTACATACAGTCAATGTCAAAAATATGCATATCCCGACGTTTTGACGATTTTATTTATTTATATTTTTCATAACAAATTTTTATTTTTTTTTTTGCTCGGTTACGAGGTTTACTTACGCGTTTCCATTAATACCCATTTAATTTTTTAAATTTCATGCAAAAAACACAAAGAAATTCTGATCGAAATTTTCAAATTTTCAACTCGATTTCTTAGAAAAATTAGTATGCAGTTTTGTAGCCCATTAAATTTTAGTGTACAAGTTTCAAGCGGCGAAAATTGACTTTTGAATTATTTTTTTTGCCAAGTGTTGCGCATTCATTTTCTTTAATATAACGCATGAACACAAACTTTAAAAAAAGGTATTTTTTATATTCGTCTTAGCCTGGAAAAACATCTTCGCATTCGTTCTCGTGATCGTATTTGTCTTCGTCTTTAATTTTACCTTCGCGTGCGTCTGCGTATTCGTGTTTATATTCGTCTTTGTCTTTGTCTTTGTCTTCGTATTCGTGTTCACTTTCGTCTTCGCCACTGTCTTCGTCTTCATCTTGGTTTTCAACTGCATACTCTTATTCGCCATCGTATTCGTATTAGTCTACAATTATGTATATACATCGTCATATTCGTCTTGATCATCTTTGTACATATCTTCGTCTACGTATTCGTCTTCGCTTTCGCCTAAGACTTATTCTTAATCATTGTATTAGTCTTCGTATTCACCCTCGCCTTCGTATTCGTATATATCTTCATTCGTAATCGTATTCGTATTCGCTTTCGGTAACACATTCGGCTTCGGCTAAAAATTGTAGGTACCTTCATTTCTGTTATAACATCAGGAAACTCGGCGAAACACTTAGCAAAAGTGAAAATGGCCCAAACATTATCTTTGCTTCAATTTTCTTATACTTTGAGCCTTTTTTCCCACATTTTAGAAAAT